ATATATATATGTTTATATGGAAATTAGCTGACTTTGATAACTACATCCTGGACAAATAAGGCAGAAAACTATGAGTTTGTCAAAGCAGTAGTTTAAATGTTAAAGCAGTAGTTTAGATACTTAGAAAGGGGGATTTTGTAGAAAAGTTAGGGCTTATTGTTACCAAAATGAATCACTGCTTTTCTATAACTCCAATCTTCAAATTTTACAGCATTTCTTGTTAACACTATCTCATAAATCAGTTAGATCGCCATCAGTTTTTCATGACTCATTTATTTATCTAGAATTCTGTGGTTACATGCAAGTAGCAGCAGCAGATGGCTGTAGCACTTCTAGCACAATTTTGGGCAGGACTAACCACCTTTTCTTTCTGTTTTGATCATTTTTATGATGAGTTTGATTAAAACTTGGACTTTACTCRCACGTAATAACTGTGTCAGTGTTTGATTTCAGTGTAATCATAAAAACCTAACCTTCTCCTGAAACGTCGACCCACTCGGGGTTGGGAAACTCATACTGGCCCAGTCTGATCCTCTGCTTCATGCCTGGAGAGATAGCCTGACCCGTGTTCGAATAGAAAGGAGGAAAACCACAGAGTCTGGGAAACAAAAGAAAAAAAAGAAACAAAGGAGTATGAAAAGACATCACTGAGTCCTTTCATGATTGATCTATAGTTATACATATTTTATGAAGCTGAATGAGTTACATACATGATACTCACAAAATGTACATGATAACCCCCAAAGACCACATGTCACATGACTTGTCATATTTCTCTGGCCCAAGAACCTCTGGTGCTGCAGGAAAAACAAATGACACAAAGCAAAAGATACACAACATTATAACAATAAACATAAAATTATACCGCAGAAACTCAGTGCCATAAACAAATAATTGATCATTATTTACAYGGCTGGAAATTTCAGGAAACTCACCAACATAATAAGGAGTGTAGCAGGGGGTTTGAAGGGAATTGTGAGTTACTGTCTCCTTTGCAAAGCCAAAGTCAGTCAGTTTTAAAGTGGCGTTACTGTCCTTGGTTGTGTAGAGCAGGTTTTCAGGCTGAAACAAGAATATACATACATATATATATATATATAGTAAATACCGAAGCAGAAACCCTCTCTTTTGATTTTGAGCGTGGTGTTACCTTCACATCTCTGTGAGCGATGTCCACGTTGTGGAGGTATTCTATGGCCGTGCCGATGTCACGCATGATCTCCGACACCTCTGGTGGATAATCAGGATGTTAAAATGAAGGCAGAGAGCACAGAGAACAAACRGACTCTGACCCACCTCTCTCCGTGAAGGCCTGGTCCCCTCTGGCCTGGATACGACTGAACAGCTCCCCTCCCTCCATGCTGAGACAGAGACATCAGAACCGGACCGYTGAGGATACTTTCGACAAATGACTGCAGTTTTTCCACAGCAGTGGTGGTTTTAGAACAAAACAAGCCACCGTGCCTCAAAATTTACTGTTTAACTAAGTTCAGATAACAGCAGATGATCAAACAAGTGCACAAATAGAGTCATGAAAATCAGTTTCAAGTTTGTTTCAGTTTTTTGTTTTCATGTTGCTCCAGTTAACTTTTACTGTTTTGAAATGTTTTGCTTTTCTTGGTTGTTATCTAGCTATGGTTTTATTCATTTTCAGCTTTGATTCATTTTAGATWTGGTTTTGCTTATTTYAGTTTTTGAGTGCAACCTTGCAAATGTTGTCTTTGACTGTAACTTACTTAAGTTATTTGTTTTGAGAGACTATAACTTACTTAGTAGTAGTATGTAGTAGTAGGATTTTAGCTACAACTTAGCTAATTTTTGCTTTTGACAGTTTTTACTTTTAGCTTTAGCTTTGTTAATTTTAGCTTTTAGCTATAGTTAAGCTAAATTTGCTCAGTTGGAGTTTTGCTAAGTTTAGCTTTTAGCTACTGTTTTGTCTAATAGCATCTGTTTTGCTGATTAGTTTTCAGCTTTTTCACCAAATTTTAGCAGTTGTTCAGCTCTCAGCATCCACACTGCATTTCTGCAGAAAGTGCACMTTTGTCTATTTGTTAATATCAATCACACTCATCTTTCAGCTGTGGGGGATAATATTTGTGTGTGTGTGTTGGTTTGTCTATTAAYAGTAAAGTTTTCATCGAGGGCCCCCACTGCAGTGCAGAAAGCCTCRGGTTCATTCACCTTTCACAGTTTACTTAAAATTTAAGATTTAGCTCCTGAACCTGGTTGCTTTTTTGTGTCACCTTTAGTCTATTTCACTAATCATTTTCATAGTCATCAGCTGATCTGTTTAGCATTACAATTAAATCTTATATATAAACATGAATATGATCATTCTCACCACTCCATCACAATAAGCAGACATTTCTTCCCATGGTGCATGTTCTCATACAGGCTGAGTATTCGTACGATGTGGGGGCCTCCAGACGCTCGCCAGTGCAGCTCCACCTCTCGTCTGGCTTTAGGGGTATCATACAGAATCTAAAAGAAATTCAAAAATTAAGCAAAATAGAGGTTGGTTCTGTTTTAAATTTGTCCAAGTGGAGAGTTTTAGGCAAAGATGATAAGCTTTTTAGTTTACATTCATCTCAGGAAAGAATATAGAACAAAAACAACAAGACAAAACCATTAAGACCATTAATAAGTGCAGAGTCCTGAAACATGAGCCATCTTTACAGGCCAAGTGCTGCAACAGAGGGTGTCCCATTCTTCTTTTTTCTTGTGCAAATTACAACCAAATCTAGATCCTGCAGGACTCTGACTCATACATGAGTGTTAGAAATGTGAGACTTGACTCTAAAACCATTTTAATTGTGTAGAACGTAATTTCCCTCTGAGCAAGACCGTTTTCCAAGAAAAGTGGTGGCTTGTAAACAGTTTGCCATACCTGCTTGGTCATGGCCTGAAAAAAGCCTTTCCAAAGAAAACATGTGCAAGCACTCATGAAACTCCTCTTCCTGTTTCTCCTCCCCTTAGACACATTTCTTACACATTAAAGATTTGTTCTTGGGTAAATGGAAACAAAAACCAGTTTTTGGCAAAGGTCCGAGTTACATTATGTAACATTGTTACAGAGCACATCATTGGAGCCAGAGGATTGCAGACAGCACATCAGTGTCTGAACAGATTTACTTTCAGATTCAATCAATCTAACAAATGTCAGGAGCCATTAAATACACAAGCAATGCAGACATGAAGACAAATTAATAATTGATGCTTTGTATTTTCCAGACAAACAAACAGCTTTTGTAGAGAATTTACGCACCTTCAGGGCACATTTCTCCCCAGTTTTTTTGCAATAACACTCCAGCACTTTYCCATTAATACCCAGACCAAGAACCTGAGCTGTTATTTTATAGTCATCCGTGACCGAGTTTCTCCTGAACTCCAGTTTACAGTAAGCAGGTGGCTGGAGGCCCGAGGTGCTGCTGGAGGAGTCACAGAGGCGAGCCGTCCCGTCCCCCTCCTGCGCACCGGACGGGTTCACAGACCGGTCCTCCTGATCATGATTCATTTCCCAMTAAAGGAATAAACAAAATGAAGTGCAGGAAAAAAAAGTCTCATCTGTGTCTTAAACTGAATTCATCCATCCTGATCCATCCGGGAGGCTTTTGCCAAATAGACCTTGATCCCCTGGTTAATAAAAACAAAGCATGTTATCTGGAAAAACAGTTTTTTCACTCAGAAACCAGGGCGGAGATTTCACCGTTATGTTCCCGCAGACAAGTTCAGGAGAGTCCGAGTCWAGACTGGATGTAGAGATTATAGAAAAACAACAAAAGGAAGGAACTGCAGCAGGAATCTGATCCCCCCTGTCTGGTCCTCATCGGGGTATCTGTCCCTCTCCCTCTGATGGGAACACCAATCTCTCTAACCCCTGTGACGTCAGCGCGGAAWGGCTCAAGTTCATTCACCAGTCTGCGCTCTTAAAGAAACAGGCACGCGCGTAAAGACGCACAGCAGAGAGACGCAACAGGAAGGAGACGCGATTTCTGTGAGCGTGCAGCTGAACAACCACGATGGCTAAACACTAAAAGAAGCGCAATGGTAATTAAAARCTAAAAGTTAATGAAAAAACAAAACTAGTCAAAGGTTAGTTAAAATAGCAGAAAGGTAGCTAAAGATAGCGAAAGCTATAGCCTATAGAAGCTAAAAGTAAAAAATAGCTATCTAAAAACTAAAAGTAGCACAATGGTAATTAAAAGCTAAAAGTTAGTGAAAAACTAAAAGTACGAAAATGTTAGTTAAAAGTAGCAAAAAGGTAGTTAGAAGCTAAAGGTAAACAAGCAAAAGCTAAAAGTAGCACAATGGTAGCTAATTAAAAAGCTAAAAGTTAGTAAAAAAAAAACAAAAGTAAAAAAAAGGCTATCTAAATTAAACTGTCACCAACAAACTGTTAGGTATGTTGTTATTAAAGAATAACTCAAACAATATTTTAATTTATAGCTTTTTATTTTTAGCACCAAAACACTAATGCACTTTTGCATTAAAAACACAAATGTCCTGTAGGAGAATTTAAGCACTCTTATTTGCAACTTCGGTAGTTACAGGTGGTGGTGGTGGTGGTGGTGGTGGGGGGGGGGGGGGGGTTTCCACTTTAACCACCGCCCACCTGTTCCAGATAATGCTTTTTCTTTAGAAAATCTTCATTAGAAAACAAGCTTGTTTGAGGAATAGATCTCTGTTTCTGAATGCAGCACAAGCAATATTTTTGCTAATGATTCAAGACAGTGAAGTTAGATTCTGCTCTGACACTCAGTAAATTGGTAACATAATTACACAAGACTCTAGATTAACAATCTAACTTTTTTAGTAAGATTTTGATTTTTTTTAGTGTAGTGCCAGCACAGTATTACTGTTTAGGTTTCCAGTGTATTGGATGTCTTTGTGGGTGATTTCTCATCATTTTATCTGCTGAAGGAGGCCTCATTTAGCTAAACAAACTGAAGAGACTGCAGGTGCTGGATTCCTCTGCTTCRTGGCTGTAATTATAATTGCTCTAAACTGAAGTGGTGGTTAGCTCTTCAGGGCACAGTCCAACACATTCTCGTCCTGCACCGGGTAGGGCATGGTGACGTACAGCTGCCTGTTCTCCTCCATGGTGCGCTGGATAGTCTCRTAGGCGTTCCTGTTTCCGGACCAGCAGCGACGAGCCACCTGCAGAACGACACCGACTCAAATCAACCTGCAGATCCTGTGAGCTGCGATAGTGACTGAGGATGAGGATGCTGATAGTCTTTCTGCTCTCTCTCTCTCTCTCTCTCTCTCTCACCCCATTGGAGACGTCCCAGCTGAGCATCAGGCTGGCTCGCTTTGCCGCCTCATCTGAGCCGTCCAGCAGCAAACCAAAGCCTCCATTTATGACCTCGCCCCTGCAGGTGAGAGTCGGACGTAAACACGGTGATGCGGGACACAGATTACTGTTTCCCAGTCAGCAGCCTGCCTCACCAGCCAACACCTCCGCCGTTGTGCAGAGCCACCCACGTGGCGCCTCTGAACGCATCACCGACAACGTTCTGGACTGCCATATCTGCAACGAGCACAGCGTGAGACAGGATTTGGGGGTAAAGAAGGTTTATAGTAGAATTATATAAAGTTATAAGTGCCTAAAGCTTCTCCCCACTCGTGTATTTCTTATCAGTGGTCGGGTCGTGGAGGCAACAGGTCTAGTAGAGAAACCCAGACATATGCCTCCGCAGAAATACTTTTCCATTTCCCAAGTTGTTCCCAGTCCAGAGAGGATACAAATCCCTCCAGTGAGTTCTGATCTTATCCAAGACCTTCGGACGTGCCTGGAGCACCTCTAAAAGGAGGTGTTCAGGAAGCATCGTGCTCAGATGCCTGAACCACGTTAATGGATGAAGGAGCTTCTCATCCTATCTCTAAAACTGAGCCTGGCCACCCTACAAAGGAAGCTCATTTTGGCCACTTGTATCCGAGATCTCGTTCTTTCGGTCATGATCCACGCCTCATGACCATAGGAGAGTGTTGGAACGTAGGCGGAGCAGTCAGTTTCAACTCAGCTCTTTATTCATCACGACTGACCGAATCCACTGACCCATCGTTTGTGAACAAGACACCCAGATGCTTAAACTCCTCCACTGGAGGCAGAAACTCTAACCTGGAGTGGACGTTCCACCCTTTACATTCAAGAACCATGGCTTCAGACTTACAGGAACCGACTCCCATCCCACCCAGTTCCCACTCGKCTGTGAACCACCCCAGTGTCTGCTGAAGGTCTTGGCCCKAAGACACCAAAAGAAGCACATCATCTGCATAAAGCAGAGACGAGACCCTGTGGTTCCCAAACCTCCTCTCCATGACTGCACCTTTATATCCTTATATTTGAAATATCACCTTCAAAAAGTAAGAGCTGTGAGCTCTTTATATTCTGCGTTTCAAACCTCMGATTCAGACTAAAACCGAAGCACGAACCTGCACAGAAAGCAGAGCCGTCATACACGTTGGAGGTCTCTCTGAAAGGGCTGTCTGTGCCACTGACATCATGGTGGTCTCTGCTAATAACCACAGGTGCCTAAAGACATTAAAAAATAAAGTTGATGAAATGATGATATCAGCAAACGTGAAGCAATGTTAAGAAAGAATTCCTCATCATACTGAGACTCTTCCATCAGCGACAGCCTGGTTCATGGCCAAAGCTATGCAGATTCTTCCTTTCTGGTCAGAATAAAGGATCCTAGCTTGGGATCCCACAACCTGAACCAAAGAACCCATGGGTTAAATTATACATTTGATTTTTTTTTCAAGTTATTTGTTTTGAGAGCGTGCCAACCATTTTGTGTTTTCCAGCCTCTTTGATCCAACGAATGTTGTCACTGTACTGCTGCTTGATTCCATCTGACACACCGGCAGCAATTTCCTCCAGAACTTTAGCGGCGAGGTCATCGGTTACAGCCAGATCTTTGGGATCACATGATGTGCACACCCAGCGAAATGGGCCGAAACCCAATGAAAAAATATCACTGCACCAAAAGAAAAAAAAGTGCTTGTTACTGAATCAGCATGTTTACAGGTTTGCAGACAAACATAAAATGATGTTGAAAACCTTTTAAAAAAGTCTCACCCCATAATATGCTGAACATAAGAAGGGTAACGGAAYTCCGTTACTCCTCCACCAGGCTTGGTGACCTCTGCGCCTATATGAAACCATAAACACATTCAGCTTTACAATTTAAACTGACACTAAAGGACTCTGATATGTCTGCGTGTGTCTTTGCTGAGTTCCTCACCAGCTCGTTGGGCCTCCAGGAGGAAAGCGTTGCCATAATCCCAGAAGAACATACCTGCATCTGACAGCTTGTTAATGGCCTTTATGTGTCTTCTGAGGCTGCCATGTAACACAAAACACGTTTTTCAACCAACACACCACAGACCCAACACTTGTAACAAGCTGCTCAGTTTAGAAGTGAATCCAACCTCTCCTGGACAGTGGTCCGGAAGCGGTTCGGATCAGTAGACATGAGCTGGTTGGCCTGGCGGAAGCTGAGCGGGACCGGGTAGTAGCCCCCGTTAAAGGGGTTGTGCAGTGAGGTCTGGTCTGAGCCCAGATCCACGAGGAGATCTCCGGTCTTCTCGAACTCCTGCAGGAGCCTTTCCCTGATCAGAGAGGAGTCATGAATAAATCCCAGATGAAGACRCAGCTCAGGCCTGGCTCAGCCAGTTTGGATGTTATCAGTCCATTAAATGGACGTTATTAACGGTTATCAGTCCCATAGAATGGCTTCAAACTGTCCCGAATGTGCCCCCTAGTGGGTTACCAGAGCCAAATATGTTGGAATGCAACAATCTGCTACCGCCGGAGTCCGGTTTACTTTATCCATGTCATTTTCTCTAAAATTAACCTTAGTGGTTTTATGCCTCATATTAACCAGATTGCATAAAAAACCTTAGTGGTTTTATGCCTCATATTAACCAGATTGCATAAAAAACCTTTGTGGTTTTATGGCTCATACTAACCAGCTGACAGTCTGAAGCCATTCTATGGGACTGATAAYGGTTAATAATGTCCATTTAATGGATGATAACATCCGAARTGGTGCCTAGCTCGTGTCTGGGAAACTCACCATAAATCTACAACATTGCCATGATAACCCAGACTGAGAGGAGTCTTGGTGCTTTTCGCTTCTCTGTAAGAAAAGACAATAAAAACTGTTTTTTGGAGTAGTATTTGTTTTTTGCACTATTTAATTTGGTGCAAAACTGCTTTGGTAAATCCACTTTTTCCACAGCAAAAACTCATTTTTTATAAATAAGATGAAACAGAAACAGGTTTTTGGAGTGTCCCCTGAAGCCTGGYTAAAGTACCTTTTGGCACCACTGGTCTCACTAAAAATACTGAAAGTTTCTCTGATCTGTCATTCGAAAAACATCTTCATCTTCAGTTTATTAAAAGTATTCCCACACATCACGCCCCCTCTGTCACCTGATGCGTTTAATGCATTGCTCCAAGCTGCTGGTGACCTCCATGACCCAGCCCTGCTCATGTCTCTTCCTCAGCGGCGCCTCATCCACCTGCACATAAAACCACACCGCATTTATGATCCGTCTGCACTGACTTTTAGCGAMGGAGTCGCCAGAAAAGCTGCTCACCTCAGCGATCACGCCGACGCAGCCAGCAATGACCGCAGCTTTGGCCTGAGCCCCGCTCATGCCGCCTAGGCCGGAGGTCACGAAGACTCGGCCCCTCAGGTCGTCAGTGCCCAGGTACCTCCGGCCTGCGTTCAGCACGGTCAGCTGCAGAGAGGCACGAGGGAATACACCAATTAAAACATTTAACATGTTTTTGATTATTTATGCTTTTGACAATATTATTTTTGCAAACCAAAGTGCCATGAACGATCCCCTGAGGTCCGATGTAGCAGTAACTCCCTGCTGTCATTTGACCGTACCTTAAAAAAAAACACGACACGTTACAGCGTGTCTGAGCACCTTCAATGTACCTTAATAATAATAAGAAAAAGCTTACATTGACACACCAAGTGCAAACATCTTTTCATACTGTTCTCTGGATGAATAATTTGGGACAACCTGAATGAAGCAAAGGGGGAAAACAACAAATATTAATTCTATTACCTTTGTGTGATTTTATGAAACTCGAAGCAGTTACCATGCCGTTGGTGATGATGGCACGAGGCGAGGAGGGCAAGCTGGGGAACAAGCCCATCGGATGTCCGCTGTACATGACCAGAGTTTGCTCCTCAGTCATCTCACTCAGGTATTGCATCACGAGGCGGAACTGAACTCACAAAAACGACCACAACATGAAACTTAAAAAAAAAAAACTGTTTCCACAGATACAAGAAAACGTGTCAGAGCTCACCTGGGCCCAGTTACTGAACACCTGTCCATTCCCTCCGTAGGTGACAAGCTCCTGAGGAAACTGCAGAATAACAACAATATTATTAAAATGCCTGTGACATCAAATTTTTGCAATAAATATGAATGCATTTTTGGAAAGACATCACTGATGACATATTGCCAAAAATATTTACACCGCTGAGATGAACAGCTGTTGAGATTTTCACATTTGAAGTAACAGGAAGTGATGCCAAAGGGGAATGTCTGAACGTAATCAGAGCTTTGCTACAGTGGCTCACAAAATCTTTAGAGAAGAATCTGATGTTTCTTTAGATTGTTTTGAGTCTCAGAGATGAAGACAAGTCAGAGTTCAAATAATTAGACCAGGGAGTTCCTTTTCTTAAAGAGTTCCCCTTTGATGTCACTTCCTGTTTCACTTTAGCTGAACCAAGTTCAAAAGAAAATACGCCTGTTATGTGACAAAATGGGTAAAATCGTGTGTTGTAGGCCAAGTTTCTTAAATATAAAAATACTTTGACTTTTTGTATTTGAAGGATATGAATGACACAGACTCTTTAAAGATTCAGTTAAAACTCTATTTTATTTCAGTATTAATTCTTCTCCTGTGATGAAAGTTGTGCAAAATATAAAGGCTCACCTGGGCAACAGACGGGTCCAAGTTGTTCATGATCATCAGCATCATAGCAGCTGCTTGACGTGTGCGGCTGGGATACTGATCTATGGGATAAGCTCTGAGGAGGAGACGGGAAAAAACATCAGGTTAGACAAATACAATGAAATGATCATCTTCTGTAGTTTCCTGCTTTAAATGTTTTATATGTTTGATCTGTCTTTTTTAACCTGACACCTAAAGGTAAAGGCTCTAACACTATGACATTTTAGACAACTTACGCTAACTTATGAAATGTTTCTTTCCACTAAATAACTAATGAAAGTTAGATATTTGATCAATTTGTTAGCATCGCAGTGTGTACATAAAGCTTCCAGTTGATTATTTTAAAATTCCATCTTCAATAGATGTCTCCAAACTTTTCATAAATTGGCATAWGTTATCTAAAATGTCATAGTGTGCCAGGGCCTTTAAGGCAAATGAAAATGTTTTTGTCTGTTAGCAAAATATCTTATGAAGCCCTGAACAAATTTTAATGAAACTTGCAGAAAGTAAGCACTGGATGTTCATCTACATCTGATTCATTTTTAGAGTTAACCTGCATCAGGATGGCTACCAAAGCCAACAAATCTTATAAAACACAAAAGTGCTTATAACCTTGCAAATGCTTTAACAGAACCTCACAAGATTATTTGAAGGACCTTCTTGTTCCATATTCATCCACTATCTCCAGACCATGGGAGATCAGGCGTTCCGTGTGTTGACCCCCGCCTTTGGAACTTTCTCCTCGAATATTTGAGAGCACCAGTTTTATCTTTTATTGTGTGTTTTGCTGTTTTGTAGGACTATGAGATTTTTTCTAATGAGACGTGTGTTACAAATTAAATTAATCGTTATTATTATTATTACAACACAAACTCCAAGCTCTAACGTAATGCGAAACTGGACAAATTTATTTTCAAGGTTTTGTTTTATATTGCACAAAGTTAAAGCACTGATTTCAGAGCAGAAAAAAATTATAAATGAAAACAAAATTTGAGAAATTCTACAGATTTATATTTGATATAAATGTGGTTTATCTATTACATTTGCTGGAATATGAGGTTATATATCTACAATTTCTAAACAAATCTACACAGCAAAAATGCCTGAGTTAATTTAACACCCACAGTGTTAATTTTAACACCAAAGTGTCTAAATGTGTCCACACTCGCTGGTGTTAAAATAACGTTTGTGAAAGTGTTAAAATTTAACACTCATTTTTTTGTTAATTTAACACCAGCCAGTGTTAAATATTCAACAATACTGGGTGTCATTTTAACATTTCAACAGTGTTAAAATAAAGTGTTAAAAGTATCACCAGTGTATTATTATTATTAACAAAGGAAATTGTGGTGTTATAAAGGTTTACAGACACCACAACATGTCAATGCACCATGAAATTGAGAGTGTAATTTTAACACTCAGAGTTAATATCAAACTCTCAGTATTTTCTAGTAAAGTGTAATGGAGTCACTCTTCACACACCAGGAAGTACCTCTCATTCATGATGTCAATTTTTGGCCAATAACATAAACTTAAAGTTGAACAACTTGATCAAACTGAACAAGAAAACWAACCAGAACAACTAATTTTACTCTCATGAACGTCTTTAACAGTCATAAACATGCAAACATTTCATTTCTGCAAGATTTCTCAGCAAGGAATGCTGGGTAAATACTGGTCTGTCTGACATGAGGTGGAAGAGGGCGGGGCTTTTCAGAATGCTTCTTTCAACACTGCATGGTGTTATATAACAACTCTGTTAAGTGTTACATAATACTTAATTGTGGGCAGAGCTTATTTAACACTGTCCAGTGTTGAGACAACACTGAGGAAATCAACACTGTGAATTAACACCAACACTGGGTGTGAGTGTACTCAGAAAGTGTTAAAATAACACTAGGTGGTGTTAAATCAACACCCAAAAGTTTAACACTGAAATTTTAACACTCCTGTTTTTGCTGTGTATAGAAAGCATGACATTAATAAGTGCTTTTGTAATAAAATAACACTCCATCACATTTTAGAGATGTTTTTTGCAGTTGGAACACCAAACTTTGAAGGGCTCCTCACCTCATCCGTATGGTGGGACAGAAGCGGTACATGTATATGTGGCCGTACTGACGGAGCTCCTGAGCAAACTCAGGTGCAAGTGTTGCATGATGGGAGGTCGGGAAATATCTCAGAGCATTTCTGAGAGCCAGCTGCGTGGAGGCAAAAGAGATGCATTTACAGTTGGTCAGAAAAATAAATAAATAAATCAGCGTTTAAACCATATTAGACCCAAAGTGAGAACTTTTCCTGCTTCTCCTTTAATTATTGACTGAAGCCTTTGCTCAGAGTTTGGGTAATCATTTGTTGAACTTTGGGAAATAATCAATATTTGTTGGGGAAAAGGCCGGCAGGGGTGATGAAATAAAATGGAGTGTAGGGATTGTGTCATAATGTAAAATATGCATCTACACTAAATCTGACATTTTTATAATGCAGGAACTCAAAAAACGAGRTCAGACTCCAGAATAAATAGTTTTGTTTTATAAAACAGCATCATTTACAACAGCCAGGCTGCTATAGGTTTGTTTACTCCATGCTAAAAGACCTGCAATCTTAAAAAAATAAAAGTAACCCCAGGACAACAAATGATTAAATGTGTATTTCTACTTACGCGTTCCTCTTGAGCTGTGAGGTTTGGGGTTCGAACAGGAGCGTGTGGCACATTAGGATTTCTCCCCTGATTGTGGGGCAAAGGATCCAGAGGTAAACCACTGCATATCTCCTTCAAACTTGACATTCTCTCAGGTAGTGTGTCTGCAGAGCCCAGGAGGCAGCTTTAACCTTCACTGCAAACAAGCCTCTGTGGAGGAAAAAAAAAAAACAACTAAACTCTGCAAACTTTAACTWTTGAGGCCAATCACTCTGCTGTCTTGTCCAATTGGCTGTTTGGTCAGATTTCCWCTGAAGAATCCACCAATGACAGACAAGGGTCTTTGGTAATTATTGATCTCTGGAAGTGTTTGAAACAGTTCATAACTCAGAGGGCAAAAACTGACCTCTGACTCCAAGTTTGTGACAATTACTCAATAAAMRGATGCAAAAATAAWTGGTTAGATGAAACTTGCAGGATAGAGTATTGATGCCTCCTGCAATTCTGTTAATATTTAACAGGTTTGTGGGAAAATGTTAATGTTGCTGGATACGTACTGAATCACAGAATGATTCATGAAGACTGCTGCTCACGTTTATAGATAAAGTAAAGATAAAAATTACAAATTAGCTTCAAATACTGATTCAGCTTAATCTTCATTAAAGGCAACACATGTAATCTAAAATGATTTGATTGCCAGATCAGTTTCATGCAGTTTTACTGTTTTTCTAATCCTCTTTAAATTGAAGCATTATCAAAAACTCCTTTTTGCTCATTCATAAGAGAAATGAGTCAAACGTATCACAGTAAAGGTGTAATCTATTTTATTACAAAATTGTCCACAATATTCACTTCGATCCTTTTTTTCTGCACTAAAACACTTTGCTTTAGATGAGGTAAATATGTCAAGTTTAATTATAAATTGGCAGAATAAGTGCAGAACAGAGAACAGTGGTAACAACAATGAAAGCTCAGTTTCAGAAATGTTTCTTCATACATTAAATCTCCCTAAATTCAGCAAATGAATGAGTGAAAAAAATTTTGAACATTTTGTAAAACAATTAAAAGGTACAGGAGAATACGGTTAATAATGAGCAGAAAATGTAAAAAAWTTTTTTACTGTAAGTTCAGTCTCCAGTGTTGTTGCTGTAAATCTCAAAGCGGGCAGTCAACTAATTAAAGTACAAACAGAAACATCAGACGACAGGATTGGAAACTTGGTCCTGTGACTCACTGACTGAGCTAAAAAAAAAAAAGGCCTTGGATCACAGTGACATGATCAAACAGCTTGAATCTAAACACTCAAGGAGGTTATTTTTTTCTCCTGATCACCTGATTTGCAAGTGAAATACAGTATTTAACTTATTACCCAGAATGCAAAAGAACTGAAACAGTCTTAATGTGCATGTGGTTCTCAAACAGTTTACCTGGATAAAGGTTAAATTAAAATTTAAAAAAAATGTTTCTGCTACAGATTAAATATTGTCACATTTATTGTATTGTTTCGCAGAAAAGTTATAGACCAAAGGAAAAACTTTCATGATAACTGTTATTTTTATTTTACAGTGCATCCAATTAAATAGCTTCAGGTTTTTGATTTTTTTTTTTAAATCTAGGTTTACCTGGTTAACTCGTCATCTGACAGTAACTCACAATTTCAGACAACTTTACACCCTTTCACATGAGCCGTTTTTACTTAAAAACAAAACAAAACAAAAAAATAATAAAGACATTTTTGCTATGTTCCATAAAAACATGACTGAATGATAAATGTGAATGATGAGAATCGAGTATCACAATAAAAGCTCATTATTAGCTCTCCTCTGAGCTCTCTGTGTTTGGTGGTGTGGTATCAGAGTCCTGCTCACTGCCCGGTGTTTTGTCTGGACTTGACGGCTCTGCAGAAGCAGAATCCTGTGAGGTCTGGCTGGATGGGGAATCGTCTTGTGGATAGAGCTCGGGGTAGCGCTGCAGACACTCCTGCATAGCCCTGAACTGCTCCAGGCATTCGGAGCCCTTCACTTCCTCTTTACTGTAGTGGAAGCAGGAGAAGGCATCTTTAAATTCAGTCCCACAGGGACCGCTGGCCATCCCTCCCAGGCAAGGGCAGTTCCAGTTTATATCACCATTGGGAAGAATTAGACCTGAGAAGAAAAAAAAAAAAGTTTCAGTTTAAATTTCCTAYTCTCTCTCAGATTTCTCTCAGTATCTATACCACTCCTCACCTTGCTCTTCATAGGGGTCATCGGGGTCTTCTTCTACAAGCTCAGCACTGCTGGGGGTTTCATGATCTTCTTTGGTGACAAATATAATTTTGTCTTTACCTGTTGTGTAAACCCAAATGCAAAGAAACTTAGTAAAACAAAAAATCTGAGGGAAACACAATGAGCAATTTACCTGCTGACCAGGACAATCAGAAATCATAAACTGTTTAACATTATGAAAATTATAAAGATGCTAAAACATGCTTATAAAATTAGATTTATTCGCATTTTACATTGTGATAGTAAACGTGCTATGTTGCCAAATGTTAGGATATAGCTGAAAGACTATAGGTAGATAATGAACACTGTTAAGGTCACAATGCATWGCAAAGTACTGACAATGTGTATATAGGGCTGGGTGATGTGGCTGAGAAATATACTGTCAATATTGAGTCTCACATCAGCTGATATAAATAATTGATTAGTTTTTTTTGTTATATATTTTCTCATTAATACTCAGAATATTACCATAACAGTTTTATAAGAGGAGCCAGACTTCCAGGAACCATGATAACCAGTGATGCAACACTTTCATATGATCCAACATCAAGTAATGTCTTATAAAAGGATTTCATGAGTAAAAATGAACACTTTTAAAGTTGTATGTTCTGTAAAATGTATACATTTACAGCCATAATCGTTTTGAGTATCAGACAAATTTAGATCACTGAATAAATAAACTTAAAACATACTAGAACCTCGTAGCGACACTCAGGTTGTTGGCGTTCAAGGTTAAACAGCCGGTGCTAACCTTTCAGTGSCAACATAAAGTAAATAATTTTAAATCTCTTCATTCGTAGCTTAGCAATACACTTGATTATACCCTTTATAACAATACCAGCAATATTTCATTCAAGCTAAACTTTTAGTTAGTGTGAGTAAAGTTAGCCGGCTAACACTCTGCTGAGGGTGCTTACCTTCATCTCTGACTGAGCTCATTTCTTCGCGCTGTAACAAGTATAAATTACCTTTTAAATTCGATAAATTAGCAACCGTTTCGKAAAATAAATATTTTACTGAATAAAGCTACACACATTACTCTGACCGCACATTTCTGTCAAAGTTCAGGACGCGGTTTCACAACTGCACCGGCTAAAGCACGATGGCTTCTTCTTCGTTTTCCCTGTTTCCGGTGTCGTTGCCGCAGCTGTGAATTATTCTGCCCCCTACAGGCCAGAAAAGGAAAGTTCAGTTGCTTAGGTAAGTACTGTAATGCCCCATTTCGGAATTAAAGTGTGGTTGAAACAAATAGGTGGGATGAAAAAATATAGCTGTCAAAAAAAAAAAAAACATGTCTTTTTTTAGAGGTTTTGATAAATTTAACCTACACATCAATAAAAAAATACACAGCCCAAATAAATTACTAATGTATTGCTGTACTAACAATTCTAATTTTGTTGCATTTTTTGATTAATATCCTTTAAGAACATTGGCATAAACTTTGTTTTATTTAAAATCAGATCTATTCAGTAAGAAGGTAGAACAAAAATCATTTTTGCTGGCCTGGCTAAACTTTATTCAATTAATACCCAATTAAAACAATACAAGTGGTTTCAAAAATATCTATTATCTGTCTTTATGAAGACTTAAAACTCAAAAAAWTAAAAATTCTGTAAATTATTTTAAGTACACACACACCAAAAAAATAAATCCTCCGTATATTTCGCATGACATCAGCGTACCTGAGTTGTAAAACCCTAAAATGAGAAGTTGCAACGTTTAGGCAAATATGCAGCATGGCCAGCAGACATTTAAAATATAAACAGTAAATGACACAGGACCTATAAATATTAACCCCCAAAAAGCTCAAGAAACTTTTTTTAAATCTGTAATTCTTTTTACAAAAGTCTTTTTTTATTCAGAATGTTTTTATACAAGGTTGTTCTGAAATGTTTTTTTTTTTTGTTGTTTTTGTTTTGTTTTTACATAAACAAAAACTTTCTTACACTTAAGACAAATTCAAAAAGGTATTCAATGCACGGTCTATGTACAGGAACAAAGTATTTGTCCAAAAGTGATTACATATAGAGCAAACAATTAAAACCAGAAAACAAAACATCTTCGGATTTGAATAACAAGAATAAAGTGTGACGTGAGTTAATACTGCAGATCCCTGGGAACGCCATGCATTAAAACAACAACGGCCTTGATTCTTAGATGGTTTACTGGGTTTTTGTTCAAACCGCCCGTTTTGAAGCTGGAACCCAATATGAGCTCCAGTTTCATGTTGCAGGACCCCAAGTTCTAATGTGGGGTCACATTAAGGAACATAAACAGTACTTGACTCAAGGTCCTGACAGTTTGTCTTCTGATCCAAACCGTAACCTGACTGGCACACAAACGAATAAAAAGTGAACAGTAAAATTATAACCTAAGACAACACTTAGCACATAAACAGATGACGGCCGTCATTCAAATCAAATATACCTGCATATTGAAGTGCTCCAATGTCAAATCGGGGGGTGGGGGGGGTTAAACTAATTAAAAACAAACAAATGAAATGAAACCTTTCAGACAATCTTGTGGAGTTTTACCTGTGGTCTGGTTAAAAACAAAAACAAGAAAAAAAAGGAGTGGTGGTCTCTGGATCACTGGAGTTTCAGAGATCTGAGGAAACAATGTGAAAAATCAACATGTTCCTCCACCTGACAGAACCACGTTTCAGCAGAGTCTCCTGAAGGTTCCTCAAATGTCTTTAAACTGCAAAGATGACAGYGCAGCGGCTTCTTTTTGTTCGTAACAAAAAAACAACAACAACAAAAAAAAATGAATACACAAGGTCGATCTTGATAAAAGTTGATTGAAGATAGAAAAAACTATGGCTTCTCTAGAAAAACATGGCCCCCATGCTGCCCATTTCACTCTGTTCCTTGACAAAGATTTCAAAGTACTGATAGATGATTGTGACAGCCAGCAGGATACCAGTACCAGAACCAATGGCTCCGAGGAAGTCTGCCATTACCGATAAACCACCGATACACAGTCCACCAAAGGCTGCAGCTGTAGGAATGTACCTGCAGAAAAYATTCAGATACCGCAAGTTAACGGCTGAGTCGTGATTAGATGAACAGCCCAACAGGAAAAAAATAAAATAAAATTCAGGTTGTGGCATTTTAATAAAATCAGAATTTTAAGCTAAAAATTCTCATTTAAAACTCTTGATTATAAATTTGTCCATATTTAGTTTGTGTAGTGGATTAAATACTTCTGCGAGTCCAGAGGTTTTTTTTCCTTTTACCTGTTCAGTTCATGAACCATTGAGGTTTCTCTGTGTCCCCTCATCACCATCTGCTGCTCCTTCAGCTGCTTCGCCACCTGTGTGACAGCGAAGAGCCGAGTTTTAACATAAAATGTGCTTTTATATTAAAAGAAATTTAAAAAAAGGACAAACTATCACCTCCGGATAGACAATAATAACGACTTACGTCTTTTGCAGAAGAACCAGAGACTTCAATCCAGGTTTTGGAGAAAAAGGCACAGGAGCCGAGCATGAAAAATATGTAGATGAGCGCATGAACAGGGTCCTCTAGAACAGAACCAAAAGACTCGGGCGGAGAGAGGTAGTAACAGAGACCCCCAACAGGATAGGCACGAGCTGGGCCACCAGATGTTGCGTCCTATAAATCATGAGGAAATAAAGATTTTTTTAAAGGAAAAAAAATGTTTTACTAACCAAGTCTGACTTTAAAAAAGTAGCACTTCTCTTCTGTCTCTTCGCCTAACATTCCCACACACCTTTAGTTGATTGTGACATAATAGGTCACACAACCATACCAATCCAACTAATAAAAAGTTAATTATGTATCTACATAAGAAGGTGAATCATCATTATACTTACAGACCACGTTCCAAGCAGATTAACGAGGAAATTCCCACTGAAGCGTGTGGAAAGCATCTGGGAGATGACGTACAAGTTGGAGACCAAGGCAGACTGCAGGATGATGGGAATGTTGGAGGTGTAGAACAGCTTGATAGGATAGGTGTTGTACTGGCCACGGTAGCGAGCCGACTTGATGGGGAGGTCCACTCTGAATCCCTGCAAGAGAAAATGACGTTTTAGACAACTGTCAATTCCTGTTGGAAGCCTTGAAAAAGTCACGCAAAAGAATGTGCAGCAACTCACCTGAAAGTATATCACTACAGCAAAAACAAAAATAGTGGCAATGAGGTTCATGAGGTTGGGCAGGTTCTGCCTGTAGAAGGCCTCTCTTAGAGCACGCACTTTGTCTGTTCTTGTGGCGATCAGGTGGAACAGAGCAATGATTGCTCCCTCAAATTCTGTGCCTAAGAGATGAAAGAAACATTTCTGATGACTGCTGAGAAGCAATACGGCAGGCTTTTGTAAAAAAAAAAAAAAAAAAAAAAAACACTATTTTGAATCAAAAACATTTTAAAAGACTACTCTTTTTCCCCACTAACCTCTTCCAGTGTTCACAGTGGTGGGACTGAAGGCCTTCCAGACGATAGTCTCACAAATGTTGGTGGCAATGAACAGCGAGATCCCTGAACCCAGTCCATAGCCTTTTTGGAGCAACTCATCCAGCAGCAGCACGATCAGTCCAGACACGAACAGCTACAGAGGAACACAAACACACCAGTTAGCAGAAGAAAAATAAATAAAATAAAATAATAAATAAATAAATAAAAAGAGTCCTGCTCCAAGAAAATGTTTTGTTACGAACACCCACTTTTTCAAGAAATGTTATCTAATCAAATTATGAGGGGCGGCTGTGGCGGAGTGGCTAGGGGAGTCRTCCCGTAACTGGAGGGTTGCYGGCTCGATCCCCCGTTCCAGCCGCCTCAGTCATTGTGTCCTTGGACAACATACTTCACCCACCTTGCCTACTGATGATGGACAGAGGGTCCTGTGTATGGCAGCCCCACCTCTGTCAGTGTGCCCCTGGGAAGTTGTGGCTACAAAGTAGCTTACCACCATCAGTGTGTGAACGTGAATGACTGAAGTGTAAAGTGGTTTGGGGTCCCCATGGGGCTTGATAAAGCGCTACATAAATTTAGTCCATTTACCATTTACAATATTGCATATTTTGTAGTTTAACATGCAWATGTTAYGAGTTAATAAAATTGAACAAGTGCACATTTTATTTTTTGGGTAACCTTACTGACTTAATACTAGAGTAAATCCTGCTCATAGAATTAAAAAATACCCCCCCCCCCACACACACACACACTAGTTTTATCAATGCCAGTATGTCATGTAAAAACTTCAATAGCCTGTACTCAATGCATTTTACATATTATGATTATGTTATTTATTAAAAGAAGGCAATGATGTGAATAAACCCTTTCTGTGTTTTCACCTGAATGATGATGAGCAGACAGATCCCTGCACCCATCTCTGATGGATCTCCATACATGCCAGTCATCACGTACACGATCGCCTGGCCGATGGTGATGATCATCCCAAACACTGAAAACATTAAGTTTTTTAAATAAACAAATAAATAAGGTACGCTATGAAGACGTTAACATCACAAACGGATTTAAGTGTCTTACATTTCTGAGCTCCATTAAAAAGGGCTCTATCCTTTGGGGTATCCCCGACTTCAATGATYTTAGCTCCTGCAAGCAGCTGCATTATCAAGCCTGAGGTGACAATAGGTGAGATGCCCAGCTCCATCAGAGTACCTGCAGGGAGATACTCCTGTTATGTCCTGTTGGCATGACCTAACACTTGCATTTTATCTTACATTTATTACAGGCTGGCCACTCACCTCTGTTTGAGGCCAGGATGACTCTCATCCAGTAGAAAGGATCTGCAGAGTCTGAGGACATGATGCCAAAAAGAGGAATCTGGAGAAGAGTTCAGTCTTGATTTTCCTCAATGAATCAGGTAAATGTTAAAAAGATGATTCTTCAAGAATCACTTTTACAATGTAAAATTTTAGCTGATTTTTATAGCTCAAATTTGATACGAATATCACCTATTATAGTGAWAGACATATTTATTTAGCATCATGTTAATCTCACTGCAGGTGGACATAAAGAAATGAGTTAGCTAGCAAATTCCAAGTGATAATTTGGGTTTGCTTAGCCAACAACATAAACAACCGCAGCTTTTCCAAGACCAACGGTTACTTCAGTTTTTAAGCACACATCGTACTGAACTGATTCTCAGGTTAGTGATTAACTATTTATACACAACTATTTTCTCTTCTTAAAAACAAAACAGAAACACGCTCAGAACCAGAGGAACTGCAGGGGCACTATAGTCAAACTGCAGACTAAATGCAGATATCTGACTTGCTGTCTACACCAACAGAGACCTTTGAGGACACTCAACATGAAAAGCATTTGTTTTTTAAATGAACTGATCTGGTTCCATCTTTGTCAAAGATGAAAATTATTTAATAATGAATTAAATTAGACAAAAATATAAAAACTTAATATAGTGACATAAATTGAATGGTTACATAAATACAATAGCTGGAGATTTATTTTTAAAAAGGTTTATAGTGAAGGAGGTCTTTCTATGATGTTAAATAGTGGGATTATTACACTGCTATTGCCATTTGATAAGAGTTGATTTTAGGTAACTAATAATGTAATAATATGACTTACCTGGCAACACACCAGAAAGATGAAAAGAGTAATTGCAGTCCATAGCACCTTTTCTCTGAACTGGATCTGTTGATCAAAGACATTTTTCACGAGTTAAACCTAAATCCAACTCAACATGTTTGCTATTTATTTAAAAAAAAAAATCACCTTTCTCTCTGGTTTTTGGATCTCTGGCAGCACTGCACAGAATGGCTTTATCACCTCCAAGAATTTGACTGTAAACAAGCAAACAGAAGTGTTTTACTAGAAATACAGAACAATAGTCATCATGATGAATGGGACGTGGCAGTGAGCAGGGGGCGGACTCAACACAAATACTATACAACATTTAAATATGGAAAAATATACTAAGACTGCRTGTTTTCCGGTTTTTAGGGTTCTCCTTGTCGCATGATTGTTGTAGTGTTGGCACATTTACGGACAGCTGAATCGAAACAACACCGGGGTGTGCTGGTAATGCGTCGTCATCACTATTGTCAATGTCTTTGAATGAGTAGCTAAAGGTTAGCTCACACAAGCTTTCAAGCTAACTCGGTCTACAGAAGTTGTTGTCAAAAATGAGCAAAGAACAATAATGTAGTGTATAAAACGTCCACTGTGATTACTTGATTATTTCACTAACTACTTTTTAAAAACCATTTACTACAACACAAAAGCAACAAGACGCTTGTTAGCATCGTAAGCTAGCTCCCTACAGTAAAGTCAACGCTAGTGTGAAACAGTAAGCTAACTAAGTTAACAAAAAGAAAAGGTTAAACAAGTTTTGCTTTTTTCCCAGATATTGTATGTACCCGTTTCGTACAGATTAGATGAAAAAGTAATACTCACTGCCCATGATGTCCCGACAATCAGCTTATTTTAAAGTGAAAATCAGGTCGGCGTGAATCTTTCTGAGCAGCGCCGGGAGGAGAAGAGGAGGAGAGACACGTCACCGTTAGAGACACGAGAGCGGACATTTAAAGGAACAGTACTCATAAAAACACTGAAGCCCAAAGGCACTTCCGGTGTTGTACGAAATTCAGTTCCCCTGTGAAAATCTGTTCCCCCTGTGTTGGGAGCGCCTCCCTCATATTAACCAATTAGGATTGGTCTGACGTCATACCTGGACCAGTGATTCTCTCTGAGGTTAACCAGCAGGGGGGACAGATTTTCACAGGAGAACTGAATTTCACACATCACCGGTGTGGACTTCCTACAAGTCTCAAGTTTAGAATAAGCGTAAATGACAGCAGTGATGGATGTTTCTTTCACTACACAATCCACAGGAAGTGTCAGAAAAGTAAACGTAGGAAGCTGCGTTTTTTCTGTTTGTCTTCCTGAGAAGAATTACAATTCTCTTTTGAAATTATATCATATAACATGTAACTACTGTATAACATCAGATGCATTTTAATAAAACAAAAATGATGTAATTTATTTAAATCAAATTATGGCATGATGATGTAATATGATTAGGGTTTATTGGCCCATTTTTGGAAACTTTCCAGTGACGTGAACTGTCACCTCATTGGAAAAAAACATGAATTAATTAAAAAAAACAAACTGATTTGCTGGATTGTCATAGTAAAAATGTTTCTTTAAAATGTGAAAATTTTGTTGCAGAGACGTCCCTACTCTGCTTGTATTTTTTTCTTTATCTATTAGGTTATGCATTTTAAATGTTGCGCAAAACACAAGTTTTAAAAAGTAGTTTGCATTTCTATAAAAAAATATTATTTATACATTTATGTTTTTATATAACATTCATTCAGTAGATATTAATATAAATTGATGTTTGGCTTTGACCAAGTTTAGACTTTTGGCCCCCTTGTGTTTGCGGGTGGGTGTGTGTGAGTTTGACACCCTTGCTCTAAGGCAGGGGTGCCCAAACATTTTCCCTGAGAGGGCCAAAWTTAAAATCAATCTGAGGGCCGCGGGCCAAATGCAATAATTTAAGAAATGCTTAACACTTAAGTAACATTGTTTTATTTTTTATGATTAAACTAGCAGCCAGTGTGGTTGCCCACATTCTTTAGTTTTTTCTTTCAGCCCATGGACATGGAGAAAATTCAGCGTATGCTCAGGCAGCAAAGTCTCATGGGACTTTACTTAATTTAAAATTTGATTCTATGTGGTCTTGTAAGGTGTGCAAATCTATATATGAGCTTAAATCTAATATAAATGTCTCTTGTAGTTACTTGTATTTTATATTTAATCTTAACATAATTACAATCTATTAACCAGAACAACTGCTGGTGGGCCAAATCAAATGGCTCGGCGGGCAAATTTTGGCTCGCGGGCCCCACTTTGGGCACCTCTGCTTATAAGGTGTGCAAATCTATATATGAGCTTAAAGCTAATCTAAATGTCTCTTGTAGTTACTTGTATTTTATATTTAATCTTAACATAATTACAATCTATTAACCAGTACAACTGCTGGTGGGCCAAATCAAATGGCTCAGCGGGCCAATTTTGGCCTGCGGGCCCCACTTTGGGCACCTCTGCTCTAAGGTCTTTGTAAAGACTATTGCTCACAGTTTTAACAAAACAAAAGAAACAGGGGAATGCCAATCCCCCAAATCAGGCATATGTTCCTGACAAATAAAAGGATGTCCTTCATTATTTATGGTAAACAATTTAGCCTCTGTGTTTCTGGTTATAGCAACATTTCTAACTARAACATTTTTGTGCTGCTCARCTTGTTCCTCCATCACATCAGATCAGCGAGTGGCCACCAGAGAGCAGGAGAGACTAAACAACAAAATGTGTAGGCCTGTGAAGGCAGTGAGTCAGTCTTGTCAACAAAGAAAAAGTCACACACAAATAGGCACAGTTTAAAGTGTCATGTCTGTCAACCTGGAGTGCTAATAAAACTTTTAACTGTGAAGTTTTACAGCCTAGTATCTAATATTTAAGTTTGACAGAAGCACATTCATCTGAAAGCTTAAGAAACAGAATCTACAATCATGGAGGAAAAATACACAACAAAACAGATAGCTATACAAAGAGACTAACAATAAAAAGTCGTTCATGTCAAGAAGAACTTGTACTCTGATGTATCTGATTCTTTCTTTGAAAAGATGACGACAAATCTTCTCTCAGCAGGTCATGGGTCACAGCTGAAGCATTTCTCACACAGATGGGACTCACACTGAGCAGCAGATCCCAACCTTTCTGAGAAAGTTCAGCTCTCTGTCTTGTTGAGAACTCCCTGTCCACACAGGGCGCACGGTGTCGGGTCACAAGGGAGAAGATAACTAAGGGGCCTTTATGACAGGATAGAGCCGGACTGTACTTAACAGACTTTTCTCCTCATTTGGGTTTTTAAACAGATTTTCAGATTAACACTGATGTCAGCAGCAGCTCACTGTTTTTATGAAGAAAACAAAACACATTTTGAACCTCAAAGTCATAAAATAAAGGGTCATATATATTATTTTGCTTTAGTAGTGACAAAAAGTAAAAAGCTTAAAGGTAAATGCGAAGAGCTTCATATGGTTCATTTAATMTTGTCAGTGCTACAAAATTGTATTTTTAATTCTACAAGGATATTTCATGTATTGTGTGTGTCACTAAACAGATCAGTCAGATTCTTTGAGAAAGTGGTGATTTTAAGACATAATCCAGACAACTGATTTTTCATTATAACCCATTCTAACTCTGGTAATCAATATTTTATCATATGTTTAAATCCCACAAGTACAACTCACACAATCCCACAACTTTTATTCAAAGAAATGCTGATGCAGCGATAAAATGAGTTACCGGTAAATCTTTCAAATCGTCATTGAGCTATAGTGACGTAATTATCTGAAGGGTTGTTTGAAGCTGAACTGCAATGATTTCACAACTTGTAATCTATGTAGTTCTCAGTAATCATCATAAATAAAGTCAGAAAACATTAATTTAAAGTGTTTGCCTTCTCTGAAACCCCTTAAAAGAAATCAGGTGATATGATGTGAGTTTGTAGGTGGAAACGAGGCCTCAGCAGCTGCTGACCGACTAAAACGTAGGAAAAAAGTGTTAGAAAGTAAAACAAAATAAAGAATGGAAGGAATGTGGTATGAAAACAGAGCTTTGTTAATWTAAGGTGTTGAATCTCAGTTTTCTTATGTTTTCTTGTAAAAGTACAGCTCATTTATACAGCTTTAGGGCTCTATATGCTTAAAGTTAACAAGTCTGAGAAAAAGAACAAAATAATCTGTCAAGTTTCCATAGCTTTATGTTATTATGTTTTATGACCTTTTAGCTTTTATTATTCTCAACTCTGAAACATTTCATTTTTATGCGAGTCTGAACATGAATGCTGTGGAAAAACAAGTGGAAACAGAACAAATTGATTTTTAATGAGTGATACGGTAACATTGAGATTTTTTGTCCCTCTTTTCTTATTATGTCACTTTGATCTTATTTCTTGTTAAGTTTCTGACAATCGTCTGACGTGAGAGGTGCATGCATTTGTTTGATTCCCCATATGTTTGTTAAACCGGTCCATCCACACTCCATTTAAACGAAGTCACTCACCACACACCTTGTTTCCACCCACACAATCAAATACCCAACATTTGAGTCTAACTGACGTGGTTTTGTGTTTATTCTTCAGTTACTGGATGAATGTCGCAAACAGATGATCAGACCGATGACGGACATAGATAAGTGATGAGAGGAGAGGTTCAAAAGCTGAAAGATTCAGATCACAGGGATTCTTTTATAGGCCCTGAGGATAACATGTCCTCTGTCATGTACAGCTCATTTTGTGTGGTTCCTGGAAAGAGGAGGGGAGTTGTGGAAATAAAACTATACGTACAAAAGAAAAGGAGTGTGTAAAGAGTCACAGGAATTCCTTGAGACCTAACCCTGTGAATCACTCACTTGTCCTGTTGTTCCTGCTGCCAGTCTGGAATTACCACATCAGTAAATATCAGAGTGTTTCAGGCTTTTATCCATTTGACCTTTTGCAATTTTGTCTCATAATCCTTCCAAAAACTGAAATTTTAAATGTGTTTAGTGATGGTGAATGTTTTTACTGCCCTAAACGTTTGTCTTCACTTCTTTGAATTAACAGGTCATCGGATGATCTCTCTTCACCTCCAAGGCTGTCTAAAAAACAACATTTGTGATTGTGTTTGTCATGTTGAAGGTCAGGAGTCACTGTTTGAGGGTTTTAACTGCAGGTTTTAAGAGTCCCAGTAATCCACAGCGGTGAACATTGTGTCTTCAACCCCAAGCTCAAAGTTACATAAAGATCAAAGACCTTTAAATCCTCCTCACAGGGTTTTTTTTCATACACAGCATTGGAGGGTTAATGAAGAACAGCTTTAACTTTACACTACACTGTTATCACGCATGTGATTGGATCAAATGGGGGAAGAAATTAAATATATACTTTTACTCTGAGTCAGACCATGTAAACAAATAAGTGAAAAAACAAAGTATTTGTTTAGCTGAAGGAAGTACAAAAATACATGTCAAACATTTACATTAAAAATGTGAGTTTTTCAAAAATTAACGCTAACATCTTTCAAATAGGAACACACTTACTTTTTCATACTGTTTTGATTTATTATTTCTTTGCTTTTTAAAATTAGATGATCAGAATTAATAATAATAATAA